CGCACACAAGATTATATATTCACAATGCCACTAGCCCTTTAATGTCCTTTCTTTTAGTCTGTTCATCATGAAGAACTGGTCCCCTTGATCAGCCGATCATAAAGCACTTCCGTTAGTAGGTACCACTGAGTCGCCTTTGGTCGTTTCCGAAAGCGGCATTTTCATCCTTTCACTGCGCGGGGATAAGCGCATTTCGTCGTTTCTCTAATCGGCCCGAACTTCTGGTCGGTTGCAAGGGTGCAGTCAGTTGTCGTCTGGTTACAGCTGACTGTTACTACAGTGTGGCAATGGCTTGTTACGCAGTCGAATACGGATCGTGGTGGTTGTGAACACAATAATGCGAAATTTGTACTGACTCGTTATAGCAACACAGATATTCAGTTCCTTTATGCTCTGCTATGTTCACGAATTCTTCGTTTCTGACATCTTCAACAGCATTAAATCCGTTACCCGCTGCTCGTTTCATCACTTCTTTCAACGTGCAGCCTGCTTCACATCTTCATTTTCACGTTGTATTCACAAGCTCGGCCGTTCACTGTTGCATGTTTCTGTCTCTCAGGATGCGGAGACAGTGGATTGAATGTGTGCTGAACTCTTTCCAAAATTCTCTGATTACAGGTTATTCTATGTATAAAAATGCGTACATTTACGAAATATCGGAAGGTCCTGTTGTTAGCGGTTTGGGCAAAATTTTTAGACTGCGTACAATCTGGACGGCAACTGCGGCATTAGAGACCATTATTTCGTATGACATCGTGCCAAGAAGCTTTTAACTCCACAACTGAATTTCACTGTCTCCGTGCTACTAGATATCTGGGAGCCGTATTTAAATAGAACATGGTTTTACGGTGTATATACATATATAAGGTAGTGTGTCTGCCTTATACCCAATCCGAACGGAAGGCGATGTAGGATAGCCTTACCTTTCGGCTGAAAAGTTGTGTTCAAGTCTGAACTTACATTCTGGAGTCATCTAATGAGGGTGTCACAGGACGAAGGTGGATATTAATGGGAAGAATGTGGATGAGTCTACTATATTCCCAGCAAATGTGGTGAAGTCTAAATCAGGGAAACGGGTAATTCTATTCTAGAAAGAGGAAAAGTACACATGAACATGCGAGATTAGAGGCAGATTAAAGATTCTGTAGTCATCAAAGCAGAATGCGAAAGTAGTTCGGCTGTTATTCAACACTATCGTAACAAATCATGACATTTGCAGCATACCAGTGCAATTTGTCGAAAAATTTTTAAACATGGAAAGATAAATGCGCTTTTCATCCAGACCAACATGTCTATGAATTGGGACAATATCTTGATGTCAGCTGTTAATAGAACGCTCTCAACATTAATCCATACTTGGCCCATTATTGACCAAAATTTGACCTTCCAAATCTGGATCATTACGTTTTTACGTTGACCATTAGCCGAGTACGGCTCGAAACATCGATATTTTACGTAATAGAGTGTACATGCGGAGCAGTTCCGTATGAAACAGGAAGACCACTGTAGGTATTTCTCCAGTGAAAACATGGCGTCAGGGAATGGTAACAGCAGTTTTGGAGGAGTTAACTGCTCGATACTGGACGTTATACAGTACCGACTCTCAACTGGCTGATGCAGAAAATTCTAAAGATACTATTCAATCGGTTGTAAAAATTGGATGATCCATCTTAGCAGTGGGCATATTTTCTGTCTAACAACTAAATCTATTGTCTTTCATTGACAAGCTGAAACCTCCTTGTCACGTAGTCAGCATATCACAGGCTTTCCTTGACAAAGTACACCGCAGGCAGCCAAGAAAAAGATGCAACGCAAATCGCTAAGATATAATGAACAGCTGACATTTCACTGAATTAGAATCCCTTCCGGAGAGCGTGGTCGATTGACAAAGTTCGTTACTACTGAAAATAGTAATAAAAAGCTGGTTTTCCAACAGTATGATAGGATTCCATTCATTCCAGCTACGTGCTAAGATGTTTGGAAAAAACATGATACAGTGGCTAAGGACATGAGCAGTCATTTTACATGAATACTGATGCTGGATATCGAATAGATGAATTTCATTCTCACTGCACTAAATAGAAGAATCCGTTTACCTCTTCCTCGACGTAGAAATACAACTCCACCAAAAAGTAATTTGCTTCAAAAAGCTGAACATATATCAAAAAAGATTATCAGGCACGGATAGTCACGAAGAAGACTTCCCTTATTAGATCTGTACTGATCTGCTGATTCCGAATGTTTCTTAAATCAGCCGCAGAATGGAGCGTACGGACAGCCTCTGTACCTAGTTTTAATGAATATCAGAGGCAATAATGGCAAACAAATCGTTAAAACTGTATGCAGATGTAAAGTGCGCGTTCAAACCGTCACTCATAATACCTGGCTGCAGTACCGCCAGAACAGTTCTCATTTCAAGACTAGTACTCTCTTGTACCTGGACCACAGATCTCACCGCTGGTGCGTTCATCGCTTCAGTGAATCTGACTGACGATGGTTAAATGGCACTGAAAGATCCGCAGCTAAATTAAACGACAGTTTGATACTAAAAAGGAAAATATAGCCTAGATTTGTATATCCGTATTTCATCTGATAGTTATATGTTGAATGAAACTGAAATTTCGCCTAACAAAGTACAAGTGAACACAGCAGAGCAGTCGGACTGATCGAACATTGGAAAAAATCTAATCGTCAGAGAATATGACTACAACACGCGCATCATCAGATTATTGCAAGTGTGAGATACGCTGTAAAACATGGAAGTTCTCGAACAGGCAATTTGCAGCTGCTACCAGATAGCCGAACAGAATTTTTACATAGGAAACAAATCTTAATGATCAGACCTTTAAAAATTCTCTTAGCATGATTTCTGCGGCCAAACCGGGCGTTAGACGCCCGTTTCGTATATCTTCAGACAATACAGGCACCTAAGTCACGTCGTTTGAAAACCGCGCACAAAGCATAAGCAGAAGTCGTATACCTTTTTGACAATTTCCGGATGTCTTCTGAACAAATCCATTAAAACGTTATCCACATGCTCCCACATCCACTCGGTCATCTGTTTATGCCGCTGATTTAGCAGTTCTCCACTGTCAGCTATGGCGTTCCGAAAAGCCATCATATTTTCGTATATCTCTGGCAATCCTTCTTTACTCAATGATGACGCCCTCAACACCTGCAAATATTTAATGATTTTTTATAAGCTATCTTTAACGGCAATTCAACCAAACCTTTGGCACCCAGGCCCTGAACCGTCTTCGCATATACTTCAAAGCAGATATGTATTCCGTCTGCGTGAGTCGTGCTTGCTTTTCCAGATCGCCGTCTGCTTTCGTAACGATTATAAGATCCGCTAGTTCCATCAAGCCACGTTTTATGCCTTGCAGTTCATCGCCCTGAGCAGGACTCAACAGCAGTACCATCATGTCCACTACGGAAGCTGCAGCCGCTTCTGACTGACCAACCCCTACACTGGCGATGAACATAAGGTGAACAGGAGAAAAAACCATGCAACGGTATAAACGCCCTTTTAACTCAAATAAACTGATTTCGAAACGCGCAAATTTAGAAAGTAAAAGATGGTACTGTTCAAGGTGGAACTGAGATCTGTAAAAACTGGACTAAAATGCGCTATGAAAAATTAATAATCATAGCGTAATCAATGTCCTTGAACACACTAACATTTACGCCCAATAGCAAGATTCTGGCTCTGACGCTAATTCTGAAACTTCTACACGAAAAAATCTGTTTCATCATCAACAATTTCTTCACCGGCAATAACAAAGCTTAATAAGGACTTTAAGTTACGCATAAAACTACTGATATGTTAAATGTACTAACTGCCGTTATAACACCATAGCGTTGCACGGTCGGTACCTTTTCAGCATGAATCCCCAGCAGACAACCTGAGTCTAAACCCTTTCCATTTTTAATAACAGATGGTGAAGTGCTGTTCTGATAACATCATACAAAGTAACACTAATGGGTTGCATTTAGATTTAACAACATATTTCCGATATAAGATCGAACCAGCTCATTTAACTCAACGCTGGACCCGCGGTCACAAGCCCGAATCTTGGCCAGATCACTCGCTACAGGTGAAAAGATAGCAAGAGTCTACCTGCCACAGTTACCACCAAGTTGGAAATATGGTAC